GGAAAAAAAAAAAAAAAAAAAAAAAAAAAAAAAAAAAAAAGTACGAAAAATCTCAAATCAGTAATGTAAACTTCTTCCTTAAGAAAACAGAAAAAGAAGAGCAAACGAAACCAAAGGCAAATATAAGTAGATAAAAACAGAAATATATGAAATAGGGAATTAAAAAACAATAAAGAAATTCAACAAAACCAAAAGTTAAATCTTTAAATTAAAGATTAACAAAATTTGCAAACCTTTATCTGGACTGAACAAGAGAAAAAGAGAGAAGACAGAAATGACTAAAATCTAAAATAAAGCACGGGCCTGGTAGAGCAGGTGCTTCTATTATGCTGGAGTGGGCTTTGAGGAGAGAGATGTCCTCTTCTTTTTCTGGTATCTGCTGGTGACTCTCCTTGTGTCATTGCAGTCAAGTGTCTGGCAGGCCACCTGCACGGCAGCTGTGGCTACTGCTGTGACATTGAGCTGCTTTTGCATGGAAGTGGTGTTTTCGGCATGCTTTTGCCTGCTTCTAGGTGGGGGATGCTGCCCTTGGCTCCCGCCTAGAACTCTAGGTGTGCTCTGTTTCCTGCCTGCTTCCAGGCAGACGGGTCTGCCCTCAGCTCTTCATGACTCCTTTTAAAAAGCCTATGTTTTATTCCTCTAAATTATTATTGGTAGGGATCCAAACCCTCAACTTTGGTGTTACAGTCTCCAAATTCTTTGAGTGAAAAAAAGATGGGGGGAGGGGCTAGCTGGTTGCTCAGTTGGTTAGAGCGAGATGCTGGTAACACCCTGTACCGGCCAGCGGCCAAAAAAAAAAGGTCGTGGAGGCGGATCTAGCACATATTTTATTTGCTAGGTAAAAGACCACATCCAAATAAATTTGGGGCTTTACTATCAATGACTATAACTATATTATTAAAATATTAATTAATGTCTGTCAGCAACAACAAAAAAAGACACAATCATTTATACTTTTCTTCTACTTTTTCCCTCATGTAAAGTGCAGATGCGTATATTTACATTCTTCCAATAAATGACAAAAACCAAACCTGCCACACTGACTCACATTGTGGGACTTAAATTTAATTCCTATTCCCATGACTTAAAGAAGAGCAACTGAGGTTTGAACAGGTAAGAGCCCTCACAAACTTCACGCTGGGAAACTCACAAGCCACACAATGTTTTATGAGGCCCATAGT